TAGGGAAAGCAAAGTGCACATATTACACTACTTTTTGTGTAAATAAGGAATGATAGTAAAAATCTATATTCATATTCATTTGGATCTGCTTTAAAAATTCTGGAAGGATTTCCATAATAAACTAATAGAAATGAGGGTGGGATGGGGTGGAAACTGAGTCAATGAGGGAGGACTCAGAGGTATACCCTTTATTTCTGTATAGCTCGGGATACATTTTGGTTTTTAAACTATAAACGTGATAGCTATTTAAAATAGTTTCTTTCTTTCTTTTTTTTTAATAGTTCCTTTTTTGGGAATTCCCTGGCAGTCCAGGGCTTAGGACTCAGAGCTTTCACTGCTGTGGGCCCGGGTTCAATCCCCGGTTGGGGAACTAAGATTCCACAAGCCACACAGTGTGGCCAAAAATGAAAAACACAAAAAAACAACTTTCCTTTTTAACAATGCAAAAGTAAAAGGTGACTATTACTTTGTCACACAACCTTGTTGCAGTTTCCTCTGTGGCTCCCCCATTGTTCCCCCGAAACATTCCATATGCCTTCCCTTAGTCTATAAGGCCCCACTTGAGCTGACCCTTCAGACTCCCTTTCCTAATCAAGAACTCCCCATCGACACCGGATCCACCCCCAACACCTTTGCCCCAGCCTTTCCCCCCACCAAGACTACCCCCACTCTGGGACTCACAGATGCTCCTCCAGCTTCCTCTTCAGCAGGGTTGACTGGAGGAGAGAACAGGCACTGGGTGAGTGAGGGCTCCAGAGGTCCAAACCTCTTTCCAGACTGAGGGTAGGGGGTGCCACCCTGGGCTCAAGGTACTTACAATGGACTTCACGGGGCATCGGACAGCAGCGGGGGGAGAGAGAGAAGGGTTATTGGGAGACACAAAGGAGGGCCAGGCAGGGAGGAGGTGGGCACTCACGTCTTCAGTCTTGCCCCCCTGCTCCTGCAGGGCCTTCTGCAGGTCCTCCACCTGGGCCCGCAGCTCCGACAGCTGCTGCTGGTTCAGCCTGCAGGGGTGGGGGGGGGCACTTAGTGCCTGCGCCCGCCCTCAGACCCCCTCCAAGCGTGTGAGAGGCCCCCCTCCGCCAGGTGGGTCCTCACCAGTGCTGCATCTCCAGGCCGTGGCGCGCGCGGTTGGCCTCCTCCAGGTGGCGCTGCAGCTCCTCCTGCCGTTCCCGGTCGGCCGCCTCCTGCTGGCAGAGGCGCTTGTTCTCCAGCTGAAGCTGTAGGAGCGTCTCCCTGCGGACCAGGAAGGAGTGAGCAGTGCGGGAGATGGGTCACCACTCAGGCCTACCAAGGCTCCAGCAGGGAAACTGGGCAGACGGGGCCAGGAGAGGGATAGAGCTCTGGGGGAAGAACCCAGCCAGACCCTGGGGTAGGGTTAGAGTACAGGGGACAGCGCCTAAGCATGGGTGGGCGGAGCGCCGGTGGGGGTGGGGGTGGGAAGTGGGCGGAGCCATGAGTTGGGTCTAGGGGTGGCGCCAGGGAAGGGTGGGGCTACAGGAGAGGATTAGAACACTGAGATGCGGCTGCCGGTAAAGTAAGACACTGAAAAGTGAAAAGTGGGAGTTCTTACCGGCAGCGCACAGGGCAGTGAACCTAGCAGGGAATATACTGAGGACAGGGCTGTATCCTGGGGGCAGAACCCAATGTGTGCAGGGCTGGGGCAAAGGATTTTTGCCTGGGGAGTGGAGACAGATGGGTTGGATCTAATTTGTGCACTGAGGACGGATCCTGAAGAGGTGAGCCACCAATAGGGCTAGAGCCCTGGCCAGGTAAGAGCAGAATTAGGAGTGAGTGGGCCTAGAAGCCCGGCTAGGACTTGGGAACCAAGTTGAGCAAGGCCTGGCTAGCGGTAAATACCTGTACTGGGGATGGGGCTGAGGGTGGGCACTGGCAGGCCCCAGTGGGGCCAGAGCTCTGAGTGACCCCAGGATACCTGAGCTCCGCAGGTAGGATCTCGGCTGCTAAGTTTTCCACAGCCGGTGAGGTGGGATCCAGTGAGGGGTCTGGAGAATGTGTGAAAAGTCTTCAGGTGGCTGCACAGTTTCTGTCCCTATCCCTAGGATCCTCTTTCCGAGAAGCATCTTTGGGGGCTCAACTTCGGCCAAAAGCCTGACTTGACCCAAACCCCACCCCTGGCATGACAAGGAGCCATGATCCTTGGCCTGGGTTTGCCTTTGCCCCACCCAGAGCCCCAATAAACGGTTTCTGCTTTCTGTCAGCCCATGTCACCTCTTTCCACTCTAGCCTCCCTCCAGCGTGGCCTAGCTCTGCCCCCAACCTAGACAAGCCCTGGGACACTGCCTTTTCTGCCTGCCCTAACAGTACACCAGGCCAGGTAAGGCTCCAGGCCAGCCATCTCCCAGGCCCTGGGATGGGCTTCCAACTCACCGGCTTGGCTCAGCCCGCGAGGCTGCAACTGGGCACAGCGCAGCTCCTCATTGGCCTCCCGCAGGGAGTCCCGCTCTGCCAGCAGCCGCTGGAGGGACAGGATGCAACAGGCCACTTGAGGCTGGATCAGTCTCCTAGGATCGGCGTCCCCAACCCCTGGGCCGCAGACCAGTACCGGTCCGTGGCCTGTTAGGAAGTGGGCCACACAGCAGGAGGTGAGCGATGGGCAAGAAAGTGTAGTTTCGTCTGCCACTCCCTATAGCTCCCCGTTGCTCGCATTACTGCCCCCAACCCCCAGTCCGTGGAAAAAATGTCTTCCACGAAACCGGTCCCTGGTGCCAGAAAGGTTGGGGACCGCTGGGCTTCCCTGGTGGCGCAGTGGTTAAGAATCCAGGGTACACAGCTTCGAGCCCTGGTCCAGGAAGATCTTACATGCTGCAGAGCAACTAAACGCGTGAGCTACAACTACTGAGCCCACGTGCCACAACTACTGAAGCCCGTGTGCCTAGAGCCCGTGCTCTGCAACAGGAAAAGCCACCTCAGTGAGAAGCCCACACACCGCAATGAAGAGTAGCCCCCGCTCACCGCAGCTAGAGAAAGCCCGCGTGCAGCAACGAAGACCCAACGCAGCCAAAAATAAATAAATAAAATAATAAAGTTCCCTTAAAAAAAAACAAATCTTATAAAGGTTGGGGACTGCTGTCCTAGGGAATGGGCTCTGCCACGATGGGCAGGGTGGGGCTTGGGTGGAGGGACCTCAGCCTCACCTCCTTCTCCTTTGACACCAACTCATACTTTTCCTCCAGATTGCGGCACTCGAATAGCCATTTCTCGGCCTTCATGGCCTCCTCCTGCCGCTGGCCCTGCAGTTCCTGAACCTAAACAGAGGAGAGGGGAGAGGACAGCTGGGTGGGAAGGAGGGGCAGGGACTGAGTACAAGGTGAAAGGGCGGGGCCAGAGGGACCAGCTGAGGGAACTTGGAGGAGGAGGCTTAAGGGGTGGGGCTTACAAGCCTAGGGAGGAGCTGGCTGGCCTAAAGGGCGTGGCCTCCATATAAAAATGGGAGCAGACTCTGGGTGGAAGGACTTAGCACCACGCTGAGGGTGAGCCAAAGTCTGCGGCTGGCCAAGAGGAGCCCCCACCCCAGTCCAGGTCCAGGGCCCTGCCCGTACCTGCAGCCGCTGCGCCTCTAGCTGGGCGCGCAGGGAGCCTGCCCGGCGCAGCTCTTCCTCCAGCTGCCGCGTGCGCTCGGCGTGGCCGGCGTTGCGCTCCTCCAGCTGCCGCACCTGCCGCCGCAGCTCCCGCAGCTCGCCCAGGCGGCGCCGGCAGCTGCTCAGCGTGGCCTCCAGCTGCCCTGCGCGCTCTGAGGACTGCCTGCGGGCGGTGGCAAGTGGGAAGAGGAGGCGGGGGTCTGAGGTCAAGGGTTCAGCCTGGATGCGAGGCCCTCAAGGCAGGGGAAGGTGTCGGGTCAGCCTTGGGGCATTTGGGTTCAAGGTGATGGGTCATGAGGGTCAGGGGTCAGCGGGGCCTGGTGGCGCTGGGGGAATCATTAGGGAGCATAAATGGAGCCCTAAACATCAATGGTTAGCCCAGGGTCAAAATCAGAATCTGGGGGACACAAAAATGACTGTGGGGTTACAGGGGGAATGATGAGGCCCAGAGGTTCTGAGGAGGCCCCTGGACACTTTGGGGTCATGATGTAGCTGTGGGCCTAACAAAGGTATTGTGGGTGCAGGGGCCGTGGTGGGGTCATGGGGGATCTTTGAGGCAGAGCACTGTGGGGCTCTTGAAGGTATGGTAGGGGCTCATTAGGCACTTTAACATTACAGGGATGATGCCATAGGGGTCACAGGGGAGCCCTTTGAGGCAACAGAAGGCAAAGTGAGGTTGAGGGGTGGGTGCTATGGGGGCCCACCAAGAACTCTGTGCTTGCAGGGATGCTGTGGAGTCATAAGAAGGTACAGTCATGTGATGGGGGGACAGAGGGGTCACCAGGGGCAAAGTTATTGCATTGTGGGGTCCTGAAGGGCAACATGGGATGCTGGGGCATGATGGGTCCCAGAATGGTGCAGTGGGGTCTGGGGAGCATTATGACCCCCTAGGCTTGCTGGGGTCACAGGGATCCTATAAGGCAGCGGTCCCCAAACTTTCTGGCACCAGGGACCGGTTTCATGGAAGACAGTATTTCCACGGAACGGCGGCGGGTAGGGGGATAGTTCAGGCAGTAATGCGAGTGATGGAGAGTGGTGGGGAGCGATGGGGAGCGGCAGATGAGGCTTCACTCTCTCGCCCTCTGCTCACCTCCTGCTGTGTGGCCCAGTTCCTAACAGGCCGCGGACCGGAACCAGTCCGCGGCCCAGGGGTTTGTGACCCCTGCTCTAAGGTATGTGGGATACAATGTGGGATAACAGGGGGACACTGTGGGGTCCTGGGGGGCACCATGGATCCAGGAAGTTTGGTGTTGTCCAGAGGATATGGTGGATTCCAGGATAGTGCGGTGGGGTTCGGGATGGTATTGTGGAGTCAACAGGGCATTGTGGGTGCCCACTAGGAATTTGGGGGTTACAGAGGTCCTATGGCATCAGAGGGGCGCTCTGGCAATGGGGATGTGTGGTGGGGACCCGCCACTCACCGAAGTTCATCCATCTCATCCTTCAGGGCCTGTGCCTCCTGGGCCAGGCTGGTCAGCTCCTGGTTCCGCTGCTGCAGCTCGGCGACCTCCCGTTCCAGCTCGGCACAGCGCACGCGCTCGTCCTCCCTGCCGCTCTCCAGCCTGGGGGTGGGGGAAGCATCACATGAAGGCACTGTACCTGCCCCAGTCCCCTGGCCTGCTGGCCCTGTCCCCAACTGACCATACCTGAAGTTCTCTTCCTGCAGCTGCTCCAGCTGGGACTGCAGCAGCAGCAGCTTCTTGGAGGTGAGGCCTGCGGCGCCCTCACCCTCGGACCGGCCCACCCGCTCCCTCAGCACCTCATTTTCCTGAACCAGGCTCTGCTTCTCCTCTGACAGGAGTACGAGCTGTGGGCAGGGCATACAGACGAGCCGGAGCTGGGAGAGGGGCTATGCGGGCGACCCTGCCCTGGGAGCACCTGTGGACCCCCACCTTGGCCCCACGCAGGTGGGGCCAAGGTGG